CCTTGAGGTTCCGGTCGTATCCATTTGATGCCCCATTGCTTAAGGGAACATCACATCGACATCCGGGGCCGGTGGATTATTTTATTTTCAGTAAAATGTGCTAACATATCGCGGGGGGGTTCGCGGAATCCGTCTGCGATATCTCTCCGTGGACTCTCCGATAGGATCCCCTGAAATAATCAATTTCCCTAGTGCGGTCGCCATAGGGATTGCTTATGTCCACGCGAGCCCGCGTTTTCCAGATTCCTTAGATTCCTTCGTGGTTCGTTTGAGCTGCCGCTGAGATGCTTTTGCGATTTCTGTTGGGCTTTTTTGAGATTGCTTTGAACTTCCATTGGTTCCTTTGATATCATGCGTGGGATTATTTGTGATATTATTCTGGGATTCCTTTGGGGGTCCTTGCAAGTTCCTCTGACATTCCTTCGACAATCCCTGAAGGGAGCATCACATCGACCTCCGGCGCTTGTGGATTATTTTATTTTCAATAAATGTGCTAACATATCGCGGGGGGGTTCGCGGAATCCGTCTGCGATATCTCTCCGTGGACTCCCATAGGATCCCCTGAAATAATCAATTCCCCTAGTGCCGTCGCAATAGGGATTGCTTATGTCCACGCGAGCCCGCGTTTTCCAGATTCCTTAGATTCCTTCGTGGTTCGTTTGAGCTGCCGCTGAGATCCCTTTGCAATTTCTGTTGGGTTCCTTTGAGATTACTTTGAATTTCCAATCGGGTTCGTTTCAGATTCTGCGTGGGCTTCCTTCTGAGATTCCTCTGGGATTCCTTTGGGGGGGTCCTTTCAAGTATAGCTGCTTGCGGTGATTTCATTGTTTGTCATTTTTGATTTACCTTTAATTTCCGATGCGCGTCAGTTTCCCAGTGTTTTAGCAAGGCGGGAACCCATTGGCAAGCGTTCGTGCGCATTGGTTCTTCAGGCTGTCGCCTCACGTTGCCGCCGGCTTCGGGCCGGGGGGGGCAAATTAATTAATTATTTTATGTTTTAATGTGCTAGCGATATCGCCGGAGGGCGCCGCCCAAAATAATTATTTATTTCATTTTCTGTGCTAGCGATATCGCCGGGGGGGTTACTGTTTGCTTCCCAGGGTTAGGCGTGAGGGTCAGATCCTGCGTGAAGGTTGGATGGGGCTGTCCTTCCCGAGCGCGGAGGCGTCAGACGCCGAGAGGGGTGGGTTCAGCGCGCGTGGGGGGCCAGAAGGGGCTGTCGGGCGAGGTGTTGTGGGGGGACGTCATTGAACAACACGGAGTGCTTCCGAGGTGAAGGCACTCGGGCGGCCATCGGGGCGCGTAGGAACGCCCTCTGGGGCCACCCACGGTCCGATCGACTCGATGACACGCGTGCCGACGGTGGCGCGTGGCATCACGCCGGCGCGTGGCATCGACCAATTCGACCCTGCACCCTCCGGGGGCAGACCCTGTCCCTGCCGAGCTGCCCGGCCCGATCGCTTGGGCCCTGCGAGCGATCCAAACGAGCTGCGACAAAGGCCAGACGATCCGCACCCCTCTCCGCCGCCCCCGGGGGCGGCGGAGAGGGATGGATGTTGGTTTTCCGGTGGATGTGGTTGAATTACCGGTGGATGACAGCATCCACTGTTACATTTTACCGGTGGATGATCAAAATGCTGCAAGTTTACCGATGTGTGAACATGTTGCACAACATCCATGGTTAAAAAGTAACGTTGGTGAGCCTCTGGGCCTCGGCTCCGGCGGGCCGGCCGGCCAGGGACGAGCGCGTCCAGGGGCTCATGGAGCGCGTCCTCTTCGTCTGGGCCGTGCGGCAGCCCGCCTGCAGCTACGTGCAGGGCCTCAACGACGTGCTGTTGCCGCTGCTCCTGGTGCTGCTGGCGGACCGCAGGGCACGACCGGAGGGGACGGCGGACGTGGCCTTGCTGGCCGTGCTGGGCGAGGCTCGGCGAGTAGGAAAAGCGGCATGAGCATTGTGAAGGCTTTGCGGCCAGTGCCGCCGACCGTGCGTGCTATGAGGAGGAATGGAGGGAGGAGGAGGAGGAGAAGGAGGAGGAGGAGGAGGAGACCAAGCAGGAGCAGGAGGGCATGGGGGGCAGGGATGAGGAGGGTTGGGAAGCGGGGGAGGGGAGATAGGGTAGAAGACAGGAGGAGGTGGGCCGTCGTCGGCATACATTTACGTAAGCTGTCAGAGTTCCGCGCGGACCCCTCAGACCCGCGCCTGGGACCCCTGGCGGCGCCTCCGGCGACGCCCGTGGCGCGCTCCGCGCGCCAGGGAGCGGGTCCAGCCAGCGCCGATCAAAGAAATCCGCCGCCCCCTGTCGATTCATCGCAGGGGTGCCTGGCGTGTTGGATCCTTTCGGTTTTGGTTTTTGGTTTTGTTTCCAAAAGAACTCCCCCTGGCGCTTCGCCCCGTCCCGCCGGGGTCCCGGGAGGATTGCCCAGGAGCGCAAACTCCACGACAAATCCTCCCTGAAACGGCCGTTTCGCTCGGGACATCCTCAAACAAGCGCGAAGATGGCCCAAGATGGCCTCCAAGTCCGCCCAAGATGGTCCAAGACGGCCTCCAAGACGGCCCAAGAGAGTCCAAGACGGCCTCCAAGACGGCCCAAGAGGCACCCCAGAGGCCTCCCAAGACGGCCCAAGAGGCCCCCCAGAGACCTCCCAGACGGCCCCAGAGGCCTCCAAGAGGTCCTCCAGGAGGGCCCGAAGAGGCCAAAAACACTGATTTGTCTATGGTTTTTGAAGGATTTTGGAATTTGCTTATTCTCGGCATTGCGACGGCTCAAGACAGCCCAAGAGGCCCCCAAGATCGCCCAAGAGGCCCCCAAGAGGGCCCCATGACGGCCCACGTGGCCTCCAAGATGGCCCTAAGAGGGCCCCAAGACAGCCCAAGAGGCCTCCAACACGCCCAAGATGGCCTCCAAGACGCCCAAGATGGCCTCCAAGACGGCCCCGAAGCGCCCCAAGAGGGTCCCCCGTTGGCCCAGAGAGGCTCCCAAGACGGCTCCCGACGGCGTCAGACGTGCCAGGAACCCACCAAGATGGCCGAAGTTGACTCGAAGCTGGCCCAAGACGGCCCAATAGGCCCCCAAGAGGGCCTCCGGGAAGGCCAGAAGAGACCAAAAACATTGATTTGTCCTGCGGCTTTTTTAAAGGAATTTGACATTTCCTTCTTTTCGGCCTTCCGACGGCCCGAGACGGCCCAAGAGCCCCCAAAGATCGCCGAAAGATCGCCCAAGAGGCCTCCAAAACGGCCAAGATGACCTTCAAGATGCCCACGTGCTCCCCGAAGGCTTTCCAAACCGATTCAGGGAACACATGGTCCGATGGCTTGGCAGGTCTGGCCTCAACGTTCGGCCACATAGGCGCTTCCAAAAAGGCAGGGGGCGGCGGTGATTCGCCGTAGGCGTCTTCGATCCGCGCGGAGCTCCAGAAGATTGCAATTTCGTGCGTATGAAATTGTTTCTTCCTCCAGAGGAGGAGCTGGCCGAGGTGGAGGCAGACTGCTATTGGTGCGTCACGAAGATTCTCTCGGAGATCTTCGACCACTACACCCACGGGCAGCCCGGCATCCAGCGCATGGGGCATCGCCTGAGTGAGGTCATCCGCAGGATCGACGCGCCGCTGGCGCGCCACCTGGAGTCCCAGGGCGTGGACCTGCTGCACACTGCCTTCAGGTGGACCACCTGCCTGATGGTGATCATGGGACGAAGAGGCACTGACACCGCTACCCTTGGCCTCACTTTCGCCTTGTCGGACCTCCTGGGAGGCCTTTGTCGCCACCGCCGGATTCGCCACGAAATTCTGGCCAGAGCGTACCCTGGGAGAGGTCCAGGGAGTGGTGGTTCCCCCAGGTGAGGGAGCTGCCGTTGGGCTGCTGCGTGCGCCTGTGGGACACCCTGATCGCGGAGTCCGCGCTCGCCAGTGGCACCCAGCGCGGCGCTGCGGGGGACGATTGCGGGAGCCCTGGCTTCGAGGCCTTGCTCGTCTATTTCTGCGCGTGCTTGGCGGTCTACTTCAGCCCGCGCCTGAGGGAGATGGACTTCGAGGTCATGACGCTCTTCCTGCAGAAGCTGCCGACAGGCGGCTTCGGCGAGCACGAGGTCCAGGGAAGCAGGAAACAGCACAGGCATGAACCTCGGGGCTATAAAATCAAGCATTTTGCACAAGCACAAACGTTCGGATGTTGGCGCGGATTTCTTGGATACGCGCTGGGCCACCCTGGCAACGCCTCTGGCGCCGCCCCTGGCGCGCTCCGCGTGCCAGTGAGGGGGGTCTAGCGTCGATCCAAAGAAATCCTCGGGGACCTGCGAAAGTTTCTGCTCATACCGCTTGTGGTTCTTGCCTGCGGACACCCGCGGACGATTTCTGCCTCCGAAAGTGCATGCTCATGCCGCACTCGTGTGCTCCTCTGCTCGCGCTTCGCGCTCCTCTGGAGGTGGAGGTGCTGCTCGGGGAGGCGTACGTGCTGAAGCAGCTCTTCCAGGAGTCGCCGAGCCACCTGCAGCCCGAGGGCGCCGTGGGCTCCGGGCTGCCGCGCCCGGGCGCGTGAGCCTTGCCGTCGGCGTGCGCGCGGACGCCACGCGGCCGTCTCGCGCCCTCGCGGCGCGGCACCCAAGGCCTCGCCGCCGCCGTCACCTTCGTCGCCGTGGGCCTGCCAGTGCTCGCCGGAGCGGGCACTGCAGAGCCGTGGCGCGAGCGCGCGCGCGCGAGCAGTGGAGCGGCGGCGCAGGCCGCTCGTCGCGGGCGCAGGGCCGCCCGCGGCGGCAAGAGAGGATGCGAAGCAGGGCAGAAGACAGAACATGCTGACGCTGCTGCTCCTCCCTCCTCCTCCTCCTCCTCGTCGTCCTCCTCCTCCTCCTCCTCCTCCTCCTCCTCAGCCGTTCTGGTTCAGGTCTACGACCTGTGTTTGCTGACGCAAATCTTCAGAGCGGCCTGCGTCAGCGGGCCAATGGTATCAACGATTACGAGCACGGCAGGTTCGGGGGCCTGCCGCTGCTCATACCTTCACTACCCCTTCCTGCCCCTGCTGCTCCTCTTGTTTGCTGTTTGCTGCCAGAGGGTGGTCAGAGTCGACGAGCGGCATTGGCCATGGCGGATGCGAGGGGGAAAGTCGTTGGCGGCAAAGGGAAGGAGCGCAGATAGGTTTTGGTTCTGTGAAGACTGCACGCACCCCTGGTCGGACAAGCCGCCTATCAACTGGGGTACGAATCTCAAGTGCTTCGCCTGCCGTACGCATACGAAGGATGTGTTCAAGTCCAATGTCGAGCCAGCTTCGCCGTCCAAGAAGCGGGCCCTGGCTGGTGGCAAAGGTGGTGCCAAGATCTGTCCGCGGGTGCCCTCACGCCTCGTGGATCTGCAGATTCGGCATACTACCAGAAGCTCATTGTGCAGTTGCAGAATGAATTGGCTTTGCTCCGTGGCAAGAATGTCGCGGGCGGTGCTGGACCCCATCAGCAGGCGGAGGCGATGCAAGCGGACTCTGGTCCGCACGGGCCTGTTGACAGCGAGAATGACGATGTGGCAAAGAAGATGGCGGACGAGGTCAAGGAGCTTGAGTCTGCGCTGGAGGCGATCAAAGGGCTGTCCTCTGATTGGGCGCGGGAGGAGTCTCTTGGCCAGCTGCGGCAGCAACGTCGGGCAAAACTACACGCAGCCACACCTTTTGCACGCTCCAGCTCATATCCTGGCGAGCAAGGTGCGGCAGCCACGTATCAGCAAAGTCCAAGAGGCTCAGGTTGCACTCGCGACGGCAAAGTTGGCGGTCGATGAGGCAGAGAAGAGCCACAAGGAAGCTCAGGGGTTGTCGTGCACGCTTGAAGAGCAGTTGGGCGCATGGCAACAGAAGCTGCCTGCGGTACCTGTTCCAACTGATTCTAATAAGGAAGAGGCTTGCATGGCAATGCTGGGTTTGTCAACTAAGAAGTTTAGGGAGTTGGTACCAAAGGCTGCGGGGGGTGCTGGGATCAGGCAAGAGGCCCGAGCACGATTGTCTGAAGGTATTGGTGGTGCGCTGCGCGAGGTATTCGTGTCCAAGCAGCGTGCTACGTCCACAGGAGGGCTGCAGACAGCGGCCGCTTCAGGTGAACAGATCCCCGTGGACGCGGGCAAGACTGCAGAACTGGGGGAGATCTGGAAGCCAGACGACTTGGATGTTCCTACACTGCGTAAGGAGCTTCAAAGTCTCGGCGCAGTTGATGTCGACGCTGATCTCGATGCTGCGGAGGACGAAGTCATACGTGAGAGGGCACGGCGGTTGGCGAAAGGCGGCTTCCATCCAAGGCGCGCTGGCAACCGCTTGTTGCGCATTTTGTCTCACGCTTATTGGCGCCATGGCGAAGACCAAAGGTTATCTGACAACGGTCAATATCACGCCGTGCCTGGAAGGGCTTGGCCGCGAGGCATCGGCGGCGGTTCTTGAGGAGCACCATCGCGCGGGCACGGACTTCTGTGCTCTGCAGTGGCAAGTTCGAGATTATGGATACGGTGGCGTTTGGTATGATGCTATTCCATCCGCGTCGTAGCGCGGGATTACGGGCGGCGAGGCGGCGCTGGCAAAGACCTCCATCCCGATTGCGCTGCCCCCCTGTTCTTCCGATCCCGTCACTGCCCCCGGCAGGCTATCTGCGGGGCATGCGCGTCGGGGGGTCACAGGTGGAGTTCTTGTTTTGTAAGTTTATCTGCCGGGCCCCGCGGGCGCGAATGAAAGCAACGGAGATGCGTTGTGGCAGCAGGCGTTTTACCTTGCTCGGCTCACGGCAACGCAGTATGATTGGCTTGTGGCTGGAGGCATCAACGTAAATCGTGATCATCTGGACACGCCACGGCTGCAACAGATGGGGGGCCTCATCGCTGCGCCCACTTCGGCGACCTGTCGCCCCACCAGAGTCGAGCAGCACGCTGTGTTGGATTATTTGTTGCGTCTGTTTTTCTGGCTACTCGCATTCATCGGCCTGAGGTCCAGGAGGCGTGCACGACGGCCCCCCGCCATCCTGTCCATCTTCCTGTCTTGGCGGAGGATTTGGGCATGAGGGTGAGGGTCGCGCACGCCCCTCGCAGGGTTCCTGCTGTTCCGCGCCCTGGTTGCGCTCGGCGTGCTCAGGACTGGTCGGGCCCTTGAATTTCATTGCGAATCTCAAGGGCGCGGAGCAGTTGGCCGATGCACGGGGTTCGGTTTTGAACGCGGCGGAGAACGAGTTGTTCGACAGGCGTGACTTTGTGGAGCAGTTCGGTGAGTCAGTCTCATGCGGCGCGCAGTGCGGAGCCTGCGGTCACCTTCACTCGTGCATTCTGGCAACCTCCAGCAAGACGCGCACTCTTGGTGCCACTGCCTTGGCGCGCAGGGCGGCAGCGAAGCGGGCTAAGCATCTTTTGAGTGTTTATGCGTATTTCAGAAGGGCCATCTTGGAGCTGCATGCAGCTAACTTGGCCATGGTGCCGGAGCCTAACCACGGTTGCAAGGTGGCAAATTTTCCGCGGGGGGCCGCCACTTATTGCCAGAAGACCCCCAAGCATGGTGTTTTATGCAAGCCAGAGCATTGGGTTAGAACAGAATTGCTCAGAGGTCTGGCGCGCTTCCCCCAGGCAGATTTTGACAGGCAGGCGGCGGACATTGCGTCAGAGCCCCGAATCATCAGGGGCAACTCGGGCCAGGGATAACTCGGGTTCGTTTTTCGGGAATTCGAACCCGAGTTACCCCGGGCCCGAGCTGCCCCGGATAATTCGGGCGACCAGAGCCCCGCATCATCAGGGGTGACTCGGGTCAGGGCTGACTCGGGCTCCTTTTTCGGGAATTCAAGCCCGAGTTGCCCCGGGGCCGAGTTACCCCGGATAATTCGGGCGCCCAATTGTGCAGTTTGCATCTGGGCAGCACGACGTGGCGCTGAAGGGCAGGCAGATGGTTTGGGGGGGGGATTTTGCTCGCAAGTCCTTCGGGAATGGTGCTCGAACTGCTCATAGGGCCACGAAGGTGCACGACATGCATCGCGCCCTTGACGGTCGGCTAAACCGGGGGCAGTTGGCGTCGCCGCAGGCCTTGTGATCGGGAAATGTCGGATTGGTGCAAGATTTGGCAGAATCATTGCGCTGGTCCGCTGGCGTCCCCACCCGATTTTCACGAATGGCCACTGCTCCCGCAGATAACGAGACCTATGATGCAGGAAGCTACCATGTCTTTTCCGACTACGACGGCGACCTCACCAGGGCGCATTGCGATGGGGGTTTTTATTCACGTTTCATGTCAGGGTTTATTTGCTATTGCGCGTCTCTTTGAGGCTTGCGAGCGCATCGGTGCATGGCCACAAGCTCGGATTTGGAACGAGATGATCAGGCGACCGAAGCGCTCTGGGGGCAATAGGTTGGCCCCGTTGATGGACTGCACGTTGAGATTGCGGTCGCGCGCCAGGGCCCTCATTACCAAGCAGTGGATTGTTTCGAACCCCAATCAGCGGACAGTTGGGGGCTGGGCGGGGCACGGTCCCCCTCAGACTCGGCGTTTAGTTTGAACCTGGAGGCTGAAGTTGCTACTGTTATTGGAGAGCACACCATCACGGCGTTGTTGGACGCTTGGAAATGTTTCGAGCTGACGCTAGGCGACGCCTTGCTCCAGGAGGCCAGGCTGGTTGGTTTCAATCTCCGTGTGTTGTGGATGCTATGTCAGTGGTATGTACTTCCGCGCAGGTTGCAGGCGCTTGGATCCGTGAGTTTTGTCATAACGGTGTTTCAAGGTATTCTGGCAGGTTGCTCGCGCGCGTGCGGGCTGATGTCGGTGCTCTTGCTGCGTCTTCTTGATCGCATCCGACGGCCAGGTGTCATTCCGCGTGCTCTTATCGACGACACCTCGCTGCAGTGGACGGGCGCGAAGCTGGATGGCATGGCTGTCTTGCGGGGCGCGGTCTCGGAGCTCAAGGCTGGATCTGCGCAGTTGGGTTTGGTTGCGCAGCCTGGGAAATCTGGCCCCGCGGCTTCATCCACGAAGGTTGTCAGGGCAGCTCGGCGGCATCCTGGCGCTGGTGGCTTGCAGCCCTGCGCGTGGACACGCTTTCTAGGGCCTGATCATCACGGAGGCAGGGTTTCTCGCAAGCAGACGGTGCAAAGGTTGAAGGGGTTGGCGGCTCGACGGGGTCGGTTGATGCTCTTCAAGCGCACGGTTGGCCATGAGGTGGGCTGCCTTTGGAAGACGGGGCTACTACCTTCGGCTGCTCATGGTGCAGGAGTACCGGCTAACCGAAGAGGTCCTAGCTAAGCTTCGATTTGCGGCAGGTTTGCGAGTGGGGGCCCGAGCTGGACCTTCGCCTCTTGCTTTCTATTTAGCGACCCAGAGGTCGCTTGAGTATGACCCTGTGCATGCCGCTACCTGTGACTTAGTGGCCAGGTATGCGTTTTGGATATGGGAGGCACGAACTTACTTGTCAAGGTTGCATCGGGCATGGGTCGAAGTCACTAACTCACTGGTCAAGGACCCAGGGTGGAGACACGCGAAGGGCCCAATGGGAGCTGTTACCCGGTCTTTATGGATAGTCGGCTGGGCTATGTATTCGTCGACGGCGTTGA